ATTCCCTGCATTCAATACGTCACTAGCACTGATGCGCCGGTCGGTGGAGAGGGTATCGAGAACAGCCCGCTTGGCATTCGATGAACTGAAGATGCTTCACTACTCCGCCCGAATGCCAAGATCGAATATTCGAAGAAGAATGTTGTTGATGGCAGTTAATTGATGACACACGCAATGCGGAAAACGAGCATAGAGAAAACCCGTAGAGCGACAGCAGAGCACTAGCGGGAATGGTAATGGTAGTAACTGTGAAGACTGTCTACCAAAGCAACGAGAGTTACGGTATTAATAGAACACGCGAACGTGAGAGGAAAAGTAACAAATAGTGAGAGGCCAGATAGAAGGCCTCTCGTCGACGCTTGTACAGGACTGCATACACTGCTACTGTAGAGAACTGAATAAAATGGGGGTATATTTGGAGACATCTCCAACAGGGTGAAACAGAAATCACGTAAGGGTTACTCGCCGATAGCGACTAGCAAACATCCGGTCAGTTGGATGCAGAAGGCGATGCCGAAGACTATCCTTTGCCTGACAAGGAAGAGACTGAGCAAGTCCTGCACTGTGTGAAGGGTTTCTACTTCTTTTGTTTGATCTCCTTGTACACGAAGATGCTGAGTAAACTAGATATCATTACAGGTCCTACAGCATCCAATGTGTATGCAGCAGCATAGCCCATACCATCGATGCCGTACAGAGCCAATACATCACCCGAGGTCCAGAACAAACCTAGATGAGAGAGAGTCCACTACGGAGAAGAAGGTAAAGTTGATTTACCCGCAATGAAAGCTGGGCGGATGACAGAGTGCATGGTACGCTTTTTGAGGGCGAACTGACGGAATAGAGAAGCTACCCAATACCACACACTAGACACAAAGTAAACACCAATACACTGAGAGAACACGAATTGAACCTGAAGGCGGAATCACTGCAAGCCTGTCGCTATCGCCCCTCCTTTGATACTACCGGTTGATAATATCCATATTTCTGTTGCCACAACTGATAAGGCCATCCATTCATTGCTGTGAGGAAGCCGCACGCAACAGCCATGACCATACCTATGAGGGCACAATACTCTGACGGTATGAGAGAACGTCATCACCTATGATCTTCACTCGTACAAGGTTCTGCTGTTTGGCCTTTTCAGCCGATTCACCATCCCCACGGTGACCACTGTCCTCCCCGTTGAAGAATCGTTCAAGTTTGACCCAGAATTTCGACGGTTTCCCATGAGTACTTTGGTCGTAACGATAATCATCTTGTCCACCCTCAAGGTCAGTGGATGATCCCGGACCCTCATCTCCCACAGTGTGCCTCGAAGGCTCTTCATTCATGTTACCATCGCTATTATGATTTGTCACACCGTTTTCATCTTCATCATTTTGTTGCTTCTGCCTTCTGCTCTGGGACGGACGATATTTCCTTTTTTCTATCCCACTGGAGGCCGACTCGGACTCATCCGGGGACTCCTCCGGGTCGACGAAGAAGAGAACGGCGAAAGAGAAAAGGAGCACGAAAACACCAACGTCACGCATAACCGGAATTCGACCGACATCGCGGTCCATACCGAAGAGACCAAAACGTGACAGACAGTATCCCCAGCTCAGGTTGATGATATGGTAAAGAGAGAACCCAAGGGCCAGACCACATATACGAACAAGCGGTATGACGATGAAGTTGGCAGTACCCCATAGGGCACCGGAGAGAACTCCGTACAGGAATATCTGCGGACCATCCCATTGCCCACTGAGCATGCCAACGACCTCCAATAGTATACCACTCCACACAATACCCGAGCACATGAACCATTGGAAGACAGCACCATCGTAGGTGCAATACTGTTTACAAGGTATATACTGCAGACCGTATAATATGGCTGCTAAGATTGTACAAGTGGTACCAACTCCGAAACCTACCATTTATTTGACCGTGGATCACGGCTATAGAGGCTAGAAACAAAAACAAAGTAACTGATTAGGACTTACACGTTGGAAAGACTAACATATGGTTGTCGAACTTCACGTTCAAGAGGATTCACGTTTGCCGAGGAAGACCCCGGTTCGATCCCCGGCGACGGCATATTGGAATTGGAGCTGTCTACTTTGTTGTGTTCATCATGTGACGTTCCGCATGGTTTCGAGTTGTGTTCGCCTTTTCTGATGCATTCCAACGAGTGTTTTGTATGCCCTGGGCACTGCAAGGATCGCCCACGTCGACGTTGAGGAAAATCCGAAGGTTCGATTCTTTCGAGTTCCGCACGCCCCCACATGCACTAGCGTCGCGCCGACAGCGTTTTCTTTGTTTGCTCAGGAGCTGACGATCGTACTGTGCGATATATCTTTCTCTTGCGTCTATATCCCGAGTAGGCAGTATGCCACGACATGCTTAGTCGTTTTATACTACCTGTATGCGTGTGAGTATGTGGCGTGGAAGGCGTTGATGTCCCTCTGTGATACCTGTCCGCTGTATATCTTTTTTTTCTCGCGAGTTTCCATTCCGATACGACAATGTTGTGCATGGAGTTGGCTGTTTTAACTTCCCACCGTCAGCTGATGAAAATTCTCGGGTGACATTATCGCAGGTTATCCATTCGACTTGCAGAGACCAGACGTAAGTCTTAGTCGCTGACGAAAACGGCTATCCGTGTGTGAGAGCAAGCATGCAGAATCTCACTTGAATGTGCAGTGAAGTGACTTCACTGCAGTTCGTCAGAGAATCTCTGGGAATGATTTGACATCGAGGTAAAATGAAAGTTGGCGAGAAAAGTAGACTTATGCGGAGTACAGTAGTGTACCTCGCTGTATGAAGTATCTCATAACACTTGGTCAGTCAAAGCCTATCGCAACTCCCACAGTTGAATTTCTGGCAGGGATCAATTCGGACAAAATGTGAATAGGTTTCACTTGTTTAAGGCAGTTTAATCCCAATAAATACAGTTATCAACATAGAACATGGAACATGCAGCATAACTCTCGATAGTGACGCGGTTCAGGCTATCCCCTGTCACCGCTTGTTGTTTCTAGTCATTCTCATAACGTATGGAACGTCAAACCATCATAATAGCAACCATAACGATGAGAACTCAATGGAAGGCTACGACCAATCAATCACCTACCCTTGTTGGTTACAAGTTGTAGCCTTTAGGGGAGAGGCGTGTGTGTTGGCACGATCGTACACGCGCACAAAGAGACAGTGCTCATGTCCTCCATTCGAACAACAGTTTGTAGTCCAATTCGCTACTGAGGAGACTCTCCATCTATGGTCGAGTAACTGTGGATCACCTCTATGTCAAATGTCTGCATCGAGACATATAGACGCGGTACATTCACCATTCCGCCCCCATTTCTCCATCGGGCACTATACTCTTCCCGCTCTGTGTTTGCGTGCTATTCTCTTCTTGCAACTCACGTCACAGCCGCGGCTAACGAAAGGTTCTCACATTAGGTGAGTTCCCACAGTGAGGACTATAGAAATCA